AAAATTAAAAAAAAAAAAAAAAAAAAAAAGGACATAAGAGGTCCCAAATTACAGTAGCAAACTGTCAACTACAAAGTATGTGCTCTAGGTACTCTGACACACCATTGCAAAGAATGCACCATTGGTTTTGGTTCTTTCTTGTTCATTCCCGTTTTCATCGATAGTTTAATACTCGGTCTCTTATCCAAAAGTTGCCACAAATATTTAAATATCAAATTTGTAATTTCTATGTGAAAAGTTAGTCTCTATGTGTAATAAATTTGAGTGATTATGTTTTTTTAGCTTTAATATCACTATTGTGTCGTACCCTTAGTTGAAGAATGTTTCTGATAATATATATTCAGGTTCCAATTTTTGATGGATCTGCGTGTAAATGGGTGGATGCAATAGAGGAGGTTGGTCTTAAGTTGGCTATAGACCAGCGTGGCAACTGCTGTGAAAAAATGGCACCATATGTAAATCAACCTGTCTATGCGTGGAGGAATGACTGTTATCTTGTTGCTTTTCCAGCCAAAGCAGTTCGTATTACTTATGGAATTGACTTTCCTCAGGTACAAATATCTTTTTATAAATTGTTATTTACTGCATGCTGTGTGAATTGAAAATTTTGCGCCTCTTTATTTAGTTATCTGTGTCAATTTCTGTATTAGCTTCATATAACAAGAGTAGTTTTCTGAGAAACTTCTTTCTGTAATATGTTTGATTCTTTGACATTGCCACCAAGAGCCTAATTGAGATTAAGAAAGATCCTTTAAAAATGATAAAATTAAGAAATTAGTACTATTTTGACATGGAAGTTGTACTGCCAATTTTTGAAATAGCCTTTGCCTGTCTTCATCTAAACTCCCCTTAATTAGTCCATATTCTTATATTACTTAATTGGAAATATGTTAAAGTAAGTCAAAGATTGGGCTTGTTATTAATTCTTTTTGCAAAATGTTATCGAATGGATGAAAGTTTACTGTTGATATATTAAAATAATAGGTGGAACTAGGCTATGGCAATTGATTTAATACTATCGGTTGAATCTTACTGTCAAGTGGTATTGAATGATCTGTGAACATTTCTTACGTGCAAGGTGCCTGGCATTGGCTGCCAATGGTTTTCTACTGCTCCTTTGGACAATATGTTCTATGCCGAGCAAATAGCTCCATCAAGAACCTTTTGCATTTACGAGGAGGTTTGTTTAAGTTTGTTAGCTAATACTTTTGTTTTGTGAATCTGTTGATATTTCATCATAAAAGAAGTGGTTCTTACCGAAATGATCGTTGGGTTCTGTAACAGACATGTTGACCCATCTATTTAAGTTATATATATTTTTCGGGGGGGCAGGGTATCAGAATTTATGCATGTTTAATGAAGAAGAAGAATGTGAGCAAAAGAGAAGAGGAGGTCTGTAATCTGAATGGTGGAGAAAGCCCACATTTCCACCATCATTACCTCCATTGTCAATAGTTCTCAATCCATTTGAATTATGATCAGCCGACGTATCATCCAGTTTGAGTCTATGGGGATCTACAATCTCTTCCATGTTAGCCAAGAAATCGTTCCCGAATACCTATCTGCAAAATTTATTTACGCATGTTTTCTCATTCAACATTAAATTTAGAGTTTGGAGATGTATATTATACAAGAAACTTATTCAGACGCATTTCATTGACCAGTATGCTAACCCAATCCATTGTGTGAATCATTATTTGAACCAAAATGAGAAAATTGTGAAAATCAAGTTTGAAGAGAATGTTGTTGGTCTCTAGAAAATGTTTGCATTTGGCCTCAACGACCAAGGTTTTCAATTTTTCAGTTAGGCATTAATAGGGGCAATTGTCAAATCTGAAGTCTAAATTGTGATCATATCAAGTCTGGTAGATGGGCATACTTCATAGGGTATGAGGTTAGGGGCTTTTCTTCTTTCTTAAGTATTTGATGCCGGGAGAATTAGGTTAATATTAGGATTGTCAATCCTTTTTACTCCCCTTTTATGTACTACCTCCCCATAAATAGGGAGTCCACCCCTCATGTGTGGAACATCTTTCATTCTAATAAAAATCCCAATTTAGATTCTTGGAGAATTCTCTTCTTTAGTCTTTAGGCTGCAACCAATTTGGTATGCCTAGGCCAAAGTTGGCAGCTACCAGGAAACCTCAAAGTTTAGGAACCAAATAGACCATCTCGGTACTAAACTTGTAATTTAACAACCCCCCCTCCCTCAAAAAAAAAAAAAGACAAGGAAAAGAAAGAAAAGAAAGAAAAGAAGGAAAATAAGGAAAAGGAAAGTTAGCATTATATATTCTTGCATTTTGAATCGCTATTAAATATTGAAACAATATTTTCAACTTTTTGAGATGCACTGGAGAAAGCTACATAGCCTTGAAGACTTTCTGGGTCTTTAATATTCAATATTTCTCAACAATACATATTACATACTTACTGCATATAACATTTGCATAAATAACAGTGTAATTGACTTCCGTACAGGTAGAGCAAATGCGTAATATGGGGCTCATAAGAGGAGGCTCAATAGAAAATGCTTTAGTTTGCAGGTTTGTTGCTTTATTCATAAATCTTCGATCTTCAAGTTCCTGGTTGATTTTAGTGGCTTCTTTCTGATATGATATGCACAGTACAAAATATATTTTAGTCAACCTGGTTCCCCTTTTCTTATCTACTCCAGTGTCAGTAAAGGTTGGATCAATCCCCCATTGCGTTTCCATGATGAACCTTGTCGCCACAAGGTTTTAGATTTCATTGGTGATATATCACTTTTTGCACGGTTAGGCAGTCAAGGGCTTCCGGTGGCACACCTAGTGGTTTACAAGGTAAGTTCTTTGTGATTTACCTCTCTAGTGTGTGGTTATTACATATAGGATTACACTACCAATCAGATAATAAGAATTCTTGGAGCACAATCTGAACTTGTTTTGTTTTTTTATTACGTGGATACCTTTTATTTATTCCTCAAGCATGTTGTTGCCTGCATTATAAGAGCCAGGTATCTTTTGATGATTATTAACAATTGAAAGACTCTTCTAGATTAGCTCTTCTGGAGGGGGTAATCTCAACCCTCCCTTGTCGTCAGATTGTTTTTGGTTTCTCTTGATGGACATACACATCTCTGTTTCTTACAAATATGTGTGTGTTTGTGTAAGGGAAAGGTATATTCTCAGTCTCCTTGCTCTATTATGTCTTTCTTTGTCCATTGCCCTTTCTGTATATATTTGTATATATTGATGACGAACCCTAGTATTTAGTTTCTCTTGGCGCATCACATGATAGGAATTTATGAATTTGGCGATCAAATATATTCTAATTTCTTTATTTCTCTAATAAGTTCTTGCCTTGTTGTGATTTGTTAATGTCATGCCCTCAATTAACAGACTTCCATTTTGCTACTATGCCATTTCACTTTGTTTCCAGAAGCTGCATCAAATCTAAAAAGTGCATTATTTGAGGGGTGCCATGACTTTCTCATTTGAACCTTTAGTTCCCATAGCAAATCCTTGTCTTAGTTATTCGAATGTTGTTTTTGTGACTGGTGGACATATAGACGGAGGTTATGTAAATGTGAGCATTGCTTTTTTGAAGTACTTGAATTTTTCTGCTGAAAGTTTGAGAGGGATTTGGTGGTGTTCTTTGTTAGGGATAACTGTTAAAACGATTGTATTTGAGCAGCAGATTGTGTAGAGGGTTGAGAGTTTTAATTGATGTGTCATTTGGGGAAATATTATGGGCACTATAAAAGGTTGGATCAAATTGGAAATACCAGTTCAAGAAAATGTGTCCAAATTTCTGGCATAATCGACTAGGGGGTGCAAATTGGTCGGCTGACATTGTTTTGGGCTCAAACCAACACTCATCCCTGACGTGTCAATTTTGGTCAATTGGAGTCCTGAAACTTTCTAACCTTTGTACAAATTGACCATTCTCGGTCAGTTGGTTTTGATCGGATTTTGGTGGATGCTAGAGAAAGAGTAGATTATCATAGTTGTGTGGCTAAAAATGTTGAGATGCAGTTATAGGAGAGAGTCTAAACCAAAGAACATATTATTTGTCTTCTTTCTTGTCATTAGGAAGTTTTTAATCTTCATTTTGCTCAAGAAAAAAGAACAGTGGAGCATTGTGTTAATTCTAAAGGTTTTTTTCCCTTGGTTAATCTTGCTACTCAAAGATTCATCCAAAGAAAGGTAGTTATTTTACCAATAAAGAGGGAATGAACCTGATGAGTTGACCAATTCCTATTTAGGTCGTCTTTTTACCAAGGTAAATCATAAATGTCTTCGTTTTGGTTGTTACTAGTTTTGACAATTATTGTTATTTAAGTAACAAAGGCTGGTTTGTAGCCTTTAAATAGGGTCCGTAGGTTGCAAGAGATATTACTTTCAGAATAAAAACGAGACTCTCTCCAAGATTTAATTTGAGAAGATTAGTCTACGCTAAAAAACAATATTTAGATACCCTGTTGTACTCACTTCTGACAGATTTTATGAATACTATACTCGAAATTGAATAAATTCTGTGCAATGCTAAATGAGCCACAACTCTATTCGCAACTTGTGATTCTTTGAGGACTTCTAGGGGGAGAAAATAGGGAGTCCATGTAGTACATCTTGCTGGCTTTGGACGACTGCTCTTTTCCTTCAGTTGGAAATAAATTACTGTTATTCACATTTGTACATGTCACTTGAATACATTTAAATTTTATCATGTTCTTTGTGTTCTTTTGGATACAATTTTTTTAACAAGTTATACTTGTTGGCATGTCTTGATTGGCGAGTGTATGCTTGGGAAGCTTAAAAGGAACAAGTAAATGCTTTGTTAATGAATTTTTTGAGGTCATGCGTTTTCTTTTAGTACAATAAACATGGTGATGGAATTTTGAATCTCTGACTTTGAGGGAAGAAGTAAATGTCTTTAACAGCTGTGCATATTCTTCAAGGTCAGGGATGTGAATAAGATTGTTGAATTTTCATATCTCAATGCAGGGTGGTCATTCTATGCATGCCAATTTTGTTCGCCGCCTATCGGAAAACATTTGAGTAGACAAGTAGCTGTCTTTGCTTGCAGAAGTGTAAAAATATTCTGCAATTGAGGTAATTAAGTCTTTGAAATTTCTCCTCCGGTTGCTTGGCAGATGAAACATTCTGCTGTAATTTGGGAAAATAGTTGTGTAAAATCTATAAGAACGATCAACGGGTAGGATTCGTCACAATTGCAGTAATTTCATATACTAGATCGTATGTTGGAGGAAGTTTTTGTATTCTTTTAAGCCACAAATCCGAATGAGGTGAAAATTGATTTAGGTTTTCATCTTAATGTTGTTTTCTAGTAAATCCTTAACAGGATAAATGAATAACTACTTGGCTTTTATCTTCCAGTATAAAATTTGCCTAAATGGAAAGAATAGATAGAAAAAAATTGGATCAGATCATACGTCTGTATGGTGTAAATTACTCACCCTGCTGATGGTTCAATCTGTGTTCTTTGCTCTTTGTTGGTCGTAATTATCTAATGTGGTATTCATACTCGTTCTTCGTTTACAGTCGTTAAATGTAGAGGTTGCAGTATCTCAGATCTTGCTGATATGCTTGATTCAGGAACTCTCTGAAGGAGTCCACAACTTTCTTAATTTATTCTTAACTCGATTGTGTGCTCATCGAGGAGGATGATATCGCCATGTGAAGAAAGGTACACTTCAATAATTGTTTTTTTTTAATGATAATGTTATTGATCATTTATTAGACTGAGTCAATACAAATGGTCGGGAAATAACATGGTTAAATTTTTACGGCTTGGGCTCTTTTAGGTGATAGATTCTAAACTTCCCTCCAGGTTATTAGTGTAGATGCAAATTGTACCTCTGTATTGTAGGTTGTCTCTGAGAAGGATTCATGGTCCTCTATATTGAATTTGAACATCCACTCTGGGAGTTTTCTTGAACTCTGTTAATCATGGCCATACGGATTAAAATCGACTAGTGATGTTAAATATTCTTCAACTTCGATCTTGTTTCTCAGCTTTTAGCTATTCTGTTTCTTGTCATTAACACTTTTTTTTTTTTTTTTTTGGAAAAAATCAATTTAGACTCCTAAACTTGTCGTGTTGTATTAATTGTAACCTTTCATGAAATTAAAAGTTTGTCTCAACCTTATACTTCAAAAAAATGTTCACAATTTTAACCCTCTAATAAGATCTTATTCTAAATATGGTTGAGAAAATTATAAAACATATGAAGAGAAAAACAAATTGGTTTCTGTTAATTCATGTGCATGACAGGAAGCTCCTAATAAAGTGTTTTTATTTATTCTTATCTTTACTTTTCATGAACTAATAATATGAATTTGAATGTGCTCCACCTGAATAAAATAATATCAGCAGTGTCATAGATAATTTAAACCAATATCAATTATCCACTCTCGCCTGCCAATCCTGCAACATTTTCTGGGAGAGCCAATCAAAATGGAAGTAATATTAAAAAAAAAATATATCAAATAGAATAAAATGTTTGAAGTAGATCATAAGAACGATCCATGTGGGAGTTCTTATTTTATGGTTTTTTTTTAAACAGACAATCAATTGATCTGTCAGAAACTTGTTTATGGCATCGTGGTGGACACTTATTACCTTGGAAATGGTGTTCCTGTTGTGTTTTTTTATGACGAATAATCCAGAAATTGAGATTTGGTTTACTTTATGAGTTTTGACTGACTCATATCATCATCTCTCTCTCTCTCTCTCTCTTTCATGTTGCTCTTCTTTTGGGGGTAAAGCCTGTCTTCCCTTCTTTGAGTGTGTAACTTAGTGTAAAATTTCTTGGGGAAAGACATTCTGTGAGAAGGGTTACAAGATGGATTGGTAAAGACTAGGGTACTCTTCTTTCTCTACAATTTGCGATAGAATATGATCGGCCTTCAATTGAACAAGTACGAGTATGTACGAGTATGTTAGTGACTAAGGGAATCTGCATTTTTAAGAGTAAGAATGCTTGTTTTTAAAGACGAAAAAGACAATCCTATCAAAAGTATCGAACCCATTCTAGGAGTGAAGAAAAAGTATAAAAAGTACTGAACTCTGCAGAATAAAAGGAGTATAAAAGAAAAGAGTTTGGTGTAATAACAAGAATATATTAACAATACCTGAATCAACAACACACTCATTGCAGATTACATCATATATCAACTGAATATGACAATAGAAGAAACAAAAATAAAAATTCCAATCAGTAGGGAGACTGCCTATACAAATCCACACAACCATTGGCTCACTCAAAAACAAACCTGACAGAAGGTGGTTAGCCAACAAGTCAACTATTCTTCCTTTTTAACTCTTTCTTTCTCCCCTTCTTTGCTGATCTCTAAACACAGGGATGACAATCCTAAGTCAGATGCATTACCAATTACCTCTCTTCGTGCAACGTCGTCTTTCCAAGTCTTTCCTCTTACTATATTGCCAACAATTTAACGAACACAGGGTCATCGGCATGCGGGTTACACTACTATGATCAATCATGTGGAAGAAAATTAAATATAGAGTAAAAAGGAACAAAGATAATAAACTATGTGGAAACGCTTGGTTGCACAAATTCAGATTCAGTTTCTTGTTATTGAGTGCTGCGATTCAACCCACCGCGTCCAACATTCCTGGAAAATATGAAAGATGTCAGTCAACTTTTCATGAGATGTTAATGTATTGTAAGAAACCAGTCTGAATCTAACAAGGAAAGCTTTAAGTAGTCGCAAGTGCAAATAAACATCAGGGCAGTAGGTGGGTTAACACAGATCAACAAATGATAAGAATTCTCACAAGTCTTCTAACAATGAAATTTTTGTTTCTTTCTTTTGCTCAAATAGTCATCACAGATTAAGAAGATTAAAACGTCAACGTGTTCAAGGTAATCGTGTTTCGAAATGCCTTGCTCAAGTGGTGTGGTAGAGAGGAAACAGTCTACAATCCATGATCTCGAACCTCGATAAGAGCACCATAATACATGTGTCCATATACACAACATCTTCAAGGACATAAAAGAAAAGGACATCTTAACAAAGAAACTGAACACATGGAATTTAATACAATTGCCTATTTTCTAATCAATTCAATCCAAATATCTCGTGCAGTTCCTATCAAATATTTGCTGCGTATTCCCAACATTTAATCCCAGTACATGCAACCATGTTAACTTGACACTAATTAAGTGGCAGAAATATGATGAAATTACATAAATTAGGGAGCATATCATATAAGCTCTTTAAATTACAGAGATTGGCATCTTCTCCCGCCCCACCCCCACCCCAAAATAATAAAATCATATCAGAGATATGCAATCATAATAGTCATTGCGTACACAACACTAGTTTTCTGATAATAACAGCATTGATTGATTACTAGTTTTGTACATGACAGAAATCTGAATTAATACCTTCCGGGATGCAGTTGTGCTGCACTAACGGGGCCCTTGGTGCTGCCACCAAATCGCTTTGCCTTGTTCTCCTGCACTTTCTCCACACGCATAGCTGCTACCTCCTTCTCCATGGCAGCCACTTCCCTTCTCATCTTCTTTGCCTCAACCTCCATTGCTTTGGTCAGCGTCTCTACCTTCTTTGCTAACATCTGAAAAACATTGAGCACCAAAACCCGAAAAGAAGTTAACATCTATGAGACTCACATATACAGAAAAAGTTACATAAACGTGAACAAGCTTGTGCAGAATATCAACCTCAATGGCGTCATCCTTGTCTTTAAGGATTTGATCTTTCTCATGGCCGCCTTTTCTCAAAGCTATAACCTCCTTCTGAAGTAAATCATACAACGTACCTGGAACACTGTCTTCACTCTCAAGTGTGGGAGACTCGTTTCCCTTTTCATCAGGATTACTTTTCCAATCATTATTTACTTCACTGTCCTTGCTTGCATCACAGGACTGATTGAATGAATAACTGGGTAGAAGTCTATTTAAAGACACCTTTCCTCGGTCCAATGACCTCGTGCCTCCATCAAATGATTTCGACGTGCCTTTAGCATGTTTCAACACTGTGCTACTGCTTGAGGACAAAGGTCTATACTGAGAACCTGGTGTCTTTTTCGATAAAAATCCATTGGAAGTTAATTTCGAAATGTTGTCAACTCCACCCAGAGATTGCCGACGAGAGGGGCCATTGCTTATACTTCTCCCTTCAGGAGTACTCCGATTGTTACTGCCAGAAGACCCTCTCAAGCTCTCTTCAAGCACTCTAAGTCGCAGCTGATACTTCTCCTGGAAAACAGTAGCAGAGAGGTCTTTAGTTTCTAGCAACTGTTAACCATGTACACAATGACAGCGAGAAAAGAATAGATTACTTTCAATAGAGCTTCAGACTTCGCAGTTCGTTCCATTATAGCAAGTTTATCACGAAGTTGCTGCATTTCTCCCTGAAAATAGAGGTAATGGCACAACAACATACAGGCAACAGATAAGCCCAGAGCACAATATTGGACGCAAAAGAGTTGTGGAACTCAATTTACCTGCAAAAATCTTCGTTCTTCAAGCCACTGTTTTACAGGCATAACCTTATCATTTGCATCTTTCCATTCATTTGCTACTACAACAGCCACTCTGTTGGCTGTTACCTTTGCACGAGCCAACTCTCTATCAAGAGTTTTCCTTTCCTCCTGAAGAACACAGAAAGAAACCTCAACAATTTTGGTAATGCACTAGAAGATTCAAATTAGTACATGTCAAGTAAAAGACACTTCTGATTCAAATACTTCGGCACATTACATTCATCTCTTGAACTTTGCGCTGGTAATCCCTCACAGCATTTGCTGCAGCACCACCAGCAAGAACAGCCTCCTCCAGCTCCCTCACAGTTTGCGTTAATTTTTCAACCTCTGCAACTTTCTGTCTGTGCATCTTGTCCAAGATTTTATTTTCTTCCTAAAACAGACCAGTAAACCTATAAATTTCTCCTATTATGAAGCTTAAAAAATGATGATGGACGAAATGGCTTACATGCTCAGATGTTAAGCATCATGCATCAGAAACATTACCTGGCAAATCTCTATCTGTTTCATCAACTCCTGATTTTTATTCTGTAAATCATCCACCATAGAGGCCTTGGCCAGGGCACTTTGAACAGTCCTCTCAGCATCAACCAAAGCTGCTTCCTTTGATTTGGTAAGACGATCCAACGCTTTATTGTCATCTTGAAGCTTAGCAATCTGGAAATCAACCATGAAAACACATAAACTCACAGTAATTTTCTTTCCGTGCAGTTTGTGTTGTAGTAATTATTGTGGCATATGTAATAAATAGTACCTCCTGTCGTGCAAGCTTGAGCTCAGCCTCCAAAGGTGCAAGAATGGCTTCGATTGGAGGCATGTCATCATCCTTTTGAGCAGCATGTACCCTCCTAAGAGTAGCTTCAGCAGCAAATTGAGCTGCCATTGAAGCCTTCTTCTCATCATTGATTTTCTTTATTTCAAGATTCTGCAAAATATTACACGATAAATTACATGATATCAACCAAAAGGTGTAAAGAAGGTTTAAAAAAAAAGAAAAAAAGGTTCACTGAATACCTTGCTTTCAAGAAGAGATTCCGTCAATTTTAACTTCTCCTCAGCCTTTGATAGTTCTTCAGTCATCTATATATAAATTAAACATCAAATCGATCATTTCCATAAATTACATTTCCCCAACTTTTATGCATAGAAAGGTAACAAATAAGCCACTCGGACATTATAAATGTTGCTTGAGAAGAACACATGAAAAGGAAAGCCAGTGGAGCCTTACTGTACAAAGCAAAGTAGAAAAGATAAACCTGAGAAACAAAAGTTCTAAGATCAAAGAGGCCTACATACACTCCATAGCCAACTTTAAAATGCTGATAGGAGATAAGAATACATACAAGTAAAACAGTATATTCGCATCAGTTTACAGGAAAACTCTTAGTTTCACAAGACCACAACACCTATAATTGAGAACATTTGAAATTCTATCATCTCTGAAGATGGATTAACACCTAAAACTGTAAACACTTGGAATTCAAAACAACCATTTAAGAGTCCAAGATTGACTGAAAAGTTACAAAAATAATTCTAAACAGGACTTAAAAAAATAGATATGTGATTAAACCTATGACATACATTGAAAGAAAATAAACGGTGAAATAATTTTCGCAATCGATTTTCCAAAAGGAGAGGCTAACTCCAACCAGAATGAAAATGAACATGACATAAGAAATATGAAAATTTCACCATCCCCCAATATTAGTACTATGAAAAATAAGATTTGAGCATGAATGTAAACGGAAAATCTTCATGCTGCACTCAAATTAGACAAATACAAGGACTCAAGGATCACACGTTATTCAACTGGTCTGTTCTAAAGGGAAAGCTTAGGAAATCAAAAGTAGCTTTCCAGAATGCTTGGTTCGAGAAATCTGGGACAAGGGCGTAGTTCTTCCCACTTAGGCTTGATGGAGCTTAACGATCCACATTGTCAAGGAAACTGGCATATGAAAAATAGGAACTACCCACCATTCGTTACGGAGGGAATGCCCACAAAATGGAAATAAGAACAATTAGGGGAATTTAATTGAGAAGTTCAGATCTCAACAATACAAAAGGCAAACCCAACAACTTGTAGAAAAATGCTCCAGCCTAGATTCTGCAAACTCAGCAGATAATTTTGGCAGTTTCCAATAATAAAGGGTGTTGTATTCACTGTCAAATCCCATCCTATCTCACAGAAGAAAAAACTTTCAAGTAATTTCTTCAGTTCCTTTAAGCTAATCGACAAGAATCGCACAATTAACAGCATAAAGATGTCCCAAAAACAATAAAATGATCAAACATTAACCTCTTCAACTGCCTTCTCTCTAAGCCGCTCAGACAACTTTAATGCCTTGATCTTCGCCTGAGCTTCCCCGAGCTCTCGATCCTTATCTGCGAACAAGACAGAAAAACGAATCGAACACAAAACATTGAATAAAACGAGCTAAAAAAAACAGCAGATCGAACCACATTTCGCACCTCGCACTTCATTCTCGAGGCGATTGAGCTCCAACTTCACCGGATCCGAGCCGGGAAACAAGTTAAAGAAGTCGTCGGCGTCCATACTCGGCCTAACCGACGTCCGGCGCCTCGACGAGCTCTTCCCCTCCTTAAAAGATCCCGACACCGTCAACGACGTTGGATTCGGTGCCGGAATGGGTGTCGGCGTAGCCTGAGAATCCACCGCTCGTCCATTACTAACCTCCGGCAAAAACCCACCTCCATCACCAGAAATCTCCGCCATAACCTGATCTACCCGAATCTCTCCCCTCTTTCTTCACATTCAAATGCAAGCCCAGCCCAGGATCCACAAACTCTAGGGCTCCAAATCTCACAAAAGGTACATTACATTCACCACAAAAAAATCAATAAACAAAAGAATAATAACAAAACTCAACAATACACACAGAAACAGAACTAAATACCCCCTCAACTCAAGTATACAGAACAAAACCCAAGAGAGAGAGAGAGAGAGAGAAAGAGAGAAAGAAAATGGAAATGAGAAATTGGGTTCGTTAAGGAGAACTGAACTCACTGCGTGTGTGTGTGTCTCTCTCCAAGAGGGGTATAAATGAAGTCTAGAGAGAGAAAGAGGGAAATGGGGGCTCTGGTTTCTCTGGGTCAGTGTTTCTCTCTCTAGAAATCTGGGAGGGTGTGTCAGTATGTGTGGGGGAAGACTGTTAGAGAGAGAAAAAGACAGATAGAAAGAGAGTGAGTGTGTGAGAGAGAGAGAGTGATTATTATTTGATTATCTAAACAATTAACTTTTAATTAATTTAATTAAATTAGATTAATAAAGAGATTAAATAATTTATAATTTTGAAAATACAGGTCTTGTTTGCAGGCGCTTTGCTGTTAGTCGGGGAGAGAATACAAAGGTTTATTTTTTTCAATTTTATTTTTCTTAAAACAATAAATAAAAATTTAAAGATTTGAACCCGAGACCTCTTAACTCAGTTTTGTCTACATTTTTGTATGGTAGTTTTTGAACTTGTTCAATCCCGTTATTTTTTCTTTTGACTCGACGTGGGGTTCATGGTTAGTAACAAAACTTTTTTTTTTTATAGTTTGTCACGGAGTGTCGGATGGTAGAAGTCCCACATCGCCTAATTTAGGGAATGATCATGGAGTTTATAACGAAGGAATACTCTCTCTATTGGTATAAGCCCTTTTGGGGAAGCCCAGAGCAAAATCATGAGAGCTTATGCTCAAAGTGGACAATATCATACCATTGTGGAGGGTCGTCTTCGTCTAACAACGAGATCCATTTTGAACTTTTGGGTCATTGGGATATACTAGCTCAACTAGCCTTCTGACACGCTTCCTCCACCCGTAGGTGAAGTCACATGACAAATCATGTAGTGTTGTTCTTGACAATACGCTTGGGCGCACAAAACAATACTATCCTGGAGAGTGCCCTATATCATTAGCTAAGTCTGTAATACCTCCTAGTCAAATCCTTTCGAGGTCCAACCAGCTTTGGGCATGCAAACTTAAGCCTCGATCGAATGCAAAAAGTTGTGTTTTACACAGGATTTCTCGTTACTCATGACAGTATTCTCGCTTTTAATATCTCTAAATGTTATCACAAAAAACCTTTCTCGATTAACAAAATGTCTAGCTATTGATACTTAAAAAAGCTTTTCTTCGGTGAATCACTTGACTCCTCATACGTGTTCGATGTCACGGATCTAGACTAGTGGGTCATTACGCTTGAATTAATTTATTTAATAATAATAATAATAATAAAAGGTAATTACCAAAATTACTATTTGTTAAGAAGCGGCGGATGCCAGCTGGACCAATTAAGCGCAGCCCAGCTCGGCTCTTTCACGTTCCTTCCACCTGCCCGTCTTTCCCAAATTTCTAATGGCTTAATCAATTTTTATTTTGTTCAATATTTAATATTTTGTTCAAATTAGTAAATTTTTTTTTAATGTATAAATAACTTTCTATTTTCCAAAAAAAAATATTTCTAAAAATAAATAAAATATTACATTATCATTCAAATAATTGAAGTGAATTTTATTAAATTATATTTGTGGTGATTTAATATGTAATATGATATCTTTCGTGACAACTCATCATTTTAAAACGCGTCTACTAGAGAGAGGTTTCCACGCCATTATTATGAATGTTTCGTTCCCCTCTCCAACCGATATGAGATCTTATAATCCACCCTCCTTGAAAACCTAATATCCTCGTTCATCTCCCAGTGTCTAGCTTTGATATTATTTGTATCAGTTCAAGCCACCATTGTCCACTTCAGCCCATTACATATCAACGACAGTCTCACGATTTTAAAACGCATATTCGTTCTTCTCTCCAACTGATGCGAGATCTCACACAACAAACTTCAAACGATTTAGAAAAGCAATTTTGAGAATCGGATCGCCAACTAATATTGTCTCGTAGATTTTGAACATTACATAAGAAAGTGTTTGGTAGTTGATGCGTGGAATTTGAGGCCCCTATATACCCTTTATTTTTCCTTTATATATTTATTTTGAAAAAGACGTTTCTTTTATTTAATTCTTTTCTCTTTTTTGAAAAAATGATTTTGTTTATGTATTTGTCTCATTTGTCTCTTTTTTCCCCATATGTAACAAGCACTTTATAAAAAAGCAAAAAAGTTAAATAATAATAATAATAATAATTTTGTGTTTAAAATAAAGTAGCTCAAATATTATTTTATTTTTAATATATATATATTTTTAAAAGTTTTGGATGAAAAAGAACATGGAGGGTGTAGATAGAGTTGCCATTTTGGTGTAAGAGATAAAAACTATTTTTAAACTATTTGTTTGTTTATTCTTTTACGAACCCTAATTTTGTCCCTTTCAAACCTAGTACTTAATTGTCGTTCACGTGCATGATTCGATCACGAGAAGTTGTGTCTGAAAAGAGGAAGTTCAATTAGGTTGACTATGTTTGATTTACGACTAATAAAGACCGACTATAACTTAGTTAAAATTTAAAAGATTGTGTGTACTGGCAGACATTAGATAATTAATGAGACACTAACAACGATTTATTCTCGTGACCACTCAGTTTTAGCAACATTAACACACCATTGTTGATCTCTTGAAGCTCCACGCACCATCCAAAAACGAAACAAACTCAATAAATTAAGACATTTTCTCGTCATTTTTAGCAAACCTTAAATTCCTCAAACAACCCATTAATCCATCTCACACACATAAACGTATAAATGGACAAACACCCACCTTTCTTCAAGCACCATCAACAATGGCATCGCATAAGCTCGTGTTCTTGATTGGACTCTTGCTTATTGCCTTGTTCGACACGTCGATGGCCAAAGGAAAGTTTAGTAAGAATAAAAACCAAGATGTAATCCCTAAACGACCGTATTCACCACCAAGGACACCTCTCATTCAATTTCGTAAATATCAAATCGAGATTCACAATGACTTGAGAATGTTTATATTGGACAGTCGTTGTTACTCGAAAAATGATGATTTAGGGTTGCATATATTGTTTCCCGACGATCAACAAAATTGGACGTTTCGAGCTAATTTTATCGAAACGACCAAATTCATCTGCAGATTAGAATGGCAATATGGGGAGTTGATATTTGATTCTTTTCTGAGTGATATTAATTTCTTGAACCGCCATTGTGGGAACTCTGTGTGTGGTTGGAGTGCAAGGCAAGACGGAGTTTATTTGACCAATGAAGTTGGTCAATATGTTTTTTATGATTATTGGGATATGTTGTTGTAATATAAATATTTCTAGCTCTTACGCGTAATTAAATTGTTAATAAATCGACGTGTAATAATGGTCAATACAAAGTTTCATATATTTTCTATTTTTCTAATAGTTTTAGACCTTATTAATAACTCCGAGTAGATAGAAAAATAAATATTAATTGAAAACTATTTTCTAGACTCGTTCGACTATATTTTTATTTTTTAATATTTTAACTTCAAATCATTTATTTAAATATTGTAGTTTTAAATAGTCGATGGAGTTGGGAACTCTATCACTTCAAGGTATGTCTTTTCTCGAATGGTTATTAATAGGCTGAATTGAATTAAATAATACTTAAAATAAAGTGTCTTTTCTAGAACGGTTACCCATTTCTCTAATTTCTCTTTGATAAGAATGTCGAGATAAGATAATGAGCAATATTAATCTCAGAACTTCGACTACACGACTTCAACGGTAGTAAATCTAATGAAGGTGGAAAATTCATAGCTATGAAGACCGCTTCCAAGAAATTTGGTCAAAGGCGTGCAGGAAGATTAAAAGTAAATTATTTTACTTATCTTTTTTTATTAATTTCCCACGTGCTTTTTATAATTTAAAAAAAAAAAACAAAACAAAACCTCGAGTACCGTGACAAAATGTAGAAACCTCTCCTTATTAGACGCATAATAGTCCAGAAATGAAAGCTTAAAAAAAACCGTATTTTGATAAGACCGACAACAATATACAATGAGCCAAAACAAAGACTAGACCCTCATGCACTATCTTATCCAAACGAACTAAATCTAAAAATAAATAAAATTAAATCACATATATTAAATAACCAATATAATTATCATTAACGTGATTCCTTGGATAATAATAATAATAAATAAATAAATTCTTACCAATAAAAAAAAGGTTTTTTTTTGGTAAGACAATAGCGATTTTAAAGCAAATTAAACAGAAAATATTAGCAACTAAATTAAATTATGAAGAACATAATTTAAACGTGCAATGTGGAGACAACCTGCGATGACCATGAATTCAAAACATGTCCAATATTAGCGTTTCTCCAACAACCTGGGGGCTTCTCCGACAGCCAATTTAAACCCAGAAGAGGCTCAGAGAATTAACCAAAAACACAATGGCGGCGCAGGGGCTCATGCGGCGGCTACCACTCCTCCTCCTCCTCCTCCTCCACCCGGTGTCCTTGACCATGTCGGTGGCCTCGAAAAAGAAGGCAGAAACAGGGCCCGAGCAGCCAGATCCGAACCAACCTGCCATAGCCCTACGCAAGTTTGATGTGCATATACGCAATGGGCTGCGAATGTACTTGTTGGACAGCCATTGCTGCTCCAAAGACGACGATTTGGGGGTGCGTGTCATATACCCAGACGATGAACAAAGGTGGTCGTTCAGAGGGAACTGGCTTGGATCCACCAATTTTCATTGCAAGTTGGAGTGGGCTTATGGGTTCGTGGAATTTGATGCTTTTGCTGATGATCTAAACTTTGTCACCAGCTTTTGTGGGGATTCTTCGTGTGTTTGGACTGCAAAACAAGATGGCCTTTATTTGGCCGACCAAAATGGTCAACTTGTTTTTAAGGATCATTGGGAATTGGTTCCATGATCAAAACCAAACAACTTCACAACTTGGGGTTGTCGGTCACTATTACATGTTTGATGTCATGATCACGTTTATTTCTAATTGCTGATGTTGAATAATTTTTTTATTTTTTTATTGTTATAGTTTATGAGTGTATGATTCATGGCTGAAATTATGTTTACATCTCTTTGGGCTAATTTGTTGTAAAATGTATTGTAAGGAGATATGACTATTTGTCGATTCTTCCTATTTGAATTATATGTTATCAATGTCATTGTTGTTGTTGGTTGTTTTTTTTTTGTTATCTTATAACATTGATTTGTAAATATTTTTCGTTTTCTAAAAATATTTTTCAAGAGCGAGGTCGGTGGCTTGAACATAGGTCGGCCCTTCACTAAAGTTAAGTTTTTTTGTGTGAATCCAATGGCATGAGAATTATTTGTTGGAGATGATGAGATTTTATTTTTTGATATTTAGTAATAATTTAAATTATTTTATTTACCATATAATATTATTCACTATATGAAAAATCTAACAAATCTAACGTTACCTATTACCGTAATCTTAAACAGCATAGGATCTGTTTGCAGTAAAATTATGTTTAAGAAATAGCTGAGACAGTCTACTATATACAGATAAAGTTTGGTGCTTATGTTCATGACACTATAGATTTAGCCATTTTGTAGTTGTTATAAATGATTTGATCCAACTCGTTCATAGAGACATGTGAGTGGAGATATCGCATATAATGAAGATATATAAGATTGAGACACGAAATATTTAGTCTTGTAATGAATCTGTTAATTGAAAAGACTATTATTTCACATGATCATCATATGTGACTCGATCTCAATCGTGATTGAGTTATGAACTTTTGTCTTTAACGGATTTTACTTTGATTTGCATGAATGAGAATGACTTTTGTAGTCAATTTAATAAACCTACCATTTTCGAGATTTGACCTAACGGGTGCAAGAAAAATAAATTCATTGAGATGAAATTCACTCTTAGGGTTTAGGGTTTTAGGGTTTAGGGTTTAGGGTTTTAGGGTTTTAGGACTTTAGGGTTTTAGGGTTTAGGGTTTACGAGAGTAAATGAGCAGTTTCTTTAAGTGCTGATTTCGAGATCTGAACAATGAGTCTCGTCCTCTCATAGACTCGAGAGGGAGTATGGTTGGATCATGAACTAATTATTCAGGAGAGAATCAATGATACTTAAGGTAGGTACAAGATGTAATAATAGGGGTAAAATAGACTTTTGATTCAACTCGTGAATAATCGTCCTCTGTTTTTGAGCTAGTCCCTCCTGTTCTTCCGTCCATTTTGCACAAACCCCTATCGTAAAAGCGATAGGAATTGCACGAAAAAAGACTTTCTAAAAACTTTTAATGGTTTATATTTTGTATTGCAAGTGTTTGGTTCTTAATCAGAATGTACAAACTTCCCATGCTGACTTTCTCAACAAAAACATTAGGTTTCCCCTTACATTTCTCAACAAAAACAACTATTTTGAGCCTTTTCCATGCCAAAAAACTTCATGTATATATACACACACAAATCACAAGAACATGAACTCGTTATCCATCAGACATCAAAAGATAACCAAACAATAATAGCACTTACTCCTTCGAGTTCAATCGGACAAAATCTAAACCCTATGGATCGACTTGTATTATTATGGCTCGGGCTCTTACTTACGATGTCCTGTCCAACAACGGGTGCCAGTGAAGAACAACAACAACAGGAAAGATCTCTCCTTGATATCCCCAAATTTCATGTCGAAATTCGCAACGGGTTGAAAATGTATATATTAGATAGCCATTGCTTTTCTAAAGACGACGATTTGGGATTACACATACTCTTTCCAGACGATCAACAAAGTTGGTCGTTTAGAGACAATATATGGGCAAGAACATTATTCCATTGTAGATTGGAATGGGAAAGAGGGTTTAAGGAATTTGATGCATTCTTTGTTGATGAGGTTTTCTTTGATGAGTACTGTTCCAACTTTAGGTGCATTTGGATCGCTAAACAAGATGGGATTTATATGTTGAATAAAGCTGGTCAAGAGGTCTTCTATCATCGTTGGAAATTGCTTAGGTTGCCGTGAAGTGAACAGGGTTTGGCTTGGTCTGTGGCTTGGTGTGTGGTGTCCCCATCATCCTAGCTTACATTTTCAAAGTGCTGTTTTTTAATCTTTTCACGTGAGAACGAGTGACACGAGAAGATACGAACCATAACGTGTATGTATCTTTATCGGTTGAGCTATCTCAATGTTATTTATTTATTTATCTTAATCAAATTTAATAAAAAATCTATTTATTTATTTATTTCATTTGTTCTTTGTAGTGAACGGACATTGTCTGAGAGCATGTGAACTAGGGGTTGATATCATCACCATAGGGATAAAAAAACCAGCACATTGTATATCTAAGTGATATGAGACATACATTGTGTGAATCTTATTGATCGATGTGGGATCTCACAATCCACTCCCTTTTGGGGCCTAGCGTCCTCGCTAGTACTCATTCCCGTCCAATCGATGTGGGACCCCCAATCCACCCTCTTTGGGGCCTATGCTGACACACCACCTCGTGTCTACCTCTTTTTAGAGCCTTAATGTTGACACACCACCTCGTGTCTACCCCTCTTCAGAGCTCAACCTCCTCGCTGGCACATCGCTTGGTGTTTGATTCCGATACCATTTGTAATAAATGACCCAAGCCCATTGCTAGCTGATAATGTCCTTTTTTGGGCCTTCCTTTCCAGTGTGGTTCTTTATGAATTTGTAATGGCCCAAACCCATCCCTTGCTGATTATGTCTTTTTTCGGCCTTCCTTCTAGGTTCCCAAAAACGCGCTAAGAAAGGTTTCCACCCTCTTATAAAGATATAAGAATGTTCATTCTCCTCTCTAACCGAGATGGGGTCTCACAATCAATCAATTAAATTTTGTTTCTCATTTTACTCATTAGTTGCAACGCGGATGCCACAATGATGCCACCTAATGATTGTCTGTAGCATTGTTTCTAACGAGTTGATGCTTCAAAATTGCATTGCAAGTATACTCACGCATGATTTATGACCAACTCAAGTTACACTAAAAGAAATCAAGTTGCATACGAGTTGATGTTCATAGGTATTATTAATTTGGCCTAAATAAAAAAATTAATATCAAAATTATCATTTGGTGTAGAGTAAGGTAAATTTGGTTCAATCTTTGCAAGAGTTGATAGACTAGGAAAACTCACAAAGATCCCATTTTCCATTGAATTTCTTGGTAAGGTCTTTGATTTGAAGCCAAATTTATGGTGAAGAACAGCCAAACTATATAGGTAAATGCCAATTAAGTATGCTTAGTGGAGTCTTCCCTTTCAAAACAAATCTCCATCCTTTTTCCACCACACAAAGCCAACATCTTTGTTGCCTGTAAATCCGATAACACGAATACTTGAATCGTTCGAACCTATCTTCGAAGCTAATGAGAAAAATGCAAGTAGACACATTTATAGCAAACAAACAAACAAACTTGGCATCTTGACACCCAGTAAATTGGAGATCAAAATTGTCATTTCCAGTAATACATGTCTTAAACAAAAATGGAGGTCCTGTTTGTCAAATAAGAAACCCCAAATCAAGAGAAAACATGTACATCTACACAGGAAGTGCTGCACAATACAAAGTAGACACATGGCCACCTAGAAGTAAATTACAGAACCAAAAAGAAAGGTAAGAAAAAGTGGAAAAACGCAACCTATATTACATTTTTATAAATATATACAGAAGACCAAAATTTAAACACAAATAAAATCATAATGCAGCAAGGAACTGGGAAATTTTTGTTCTTACAGTAGCTACGAGGAGTCTCAACTGGTTCGTTTGATGCAACTTTTCCTTTGGGGTGTTGTTGGCTGCAGATTAAAATAGAATCAAAGATCTGAATCTTGCCCACTAGCTAAGCAGAGTTCGTGCAATTCATTGAGTATCCATTCTTCCCCGGTGTGGCCGCCCAATACCAAAACTCTTGTGCCTCCAACCACACAAGTACTGTGTCCCCAAGCAAATTTTGGTGGTTGTCCAGGAACATTGAGAATCCTCCATGATGGTTTCTCCTCGGAAGGATCCAAAAGGAACAGTTGAGAAGGTGAATGTAACCCGGCAATTGAGCCTCCAAAAATGATAATCCTTCCACAGGGCATGCTGACTGCTACATGATCGAGTCTTGGTGGAGGAACTACAGCACTCTGGCCGCCTATGCCAGTGAATGCACTGCACTCAAGTTGCCTCCACCGGGGTTCTTCCTCTTCTAAATCTATGGTGTACGCCTCGCCCGATCGTAAGCGTAGGTGTCCGCTCTTGGCAAGTCCACCAAACATTAGAATCTTTGTCCGACCGTAAACTGACAGAGAATGTCCCAATCTAGATGGGGGAGTCCCGGATGTGGGAATCTCTCTCCAGGTTGGCTTGTCTGTTGTTAGATCCAACAAGTATGTGTCACTAAGAAGCACCCCAGCATCTGTGCATCCACCTGAAACAACCAGTTTAGAACCTTCGATCATACAGGAGCTATGCCAGGATCTAGGCAATGGAGGAGCTCCACCAGAGATTTCTTTCCACGTTGGTTGCTGAGCATCCAAATCGAGTACAAACACATCGTTGAGCAATCCTTGACTGCCGCATCCACCAAAAACAACTAACCAAGAACCATTCAAACATGATAAAGTGTGACCCCAACGTCCAGGCGGGGAGGATTTCACGCTTACTCTTCGCCACTCTGGATTTGCAGCATCAAGATTGAGAACAAAGGTATCATCCATGGGCTGCATATTGACTCCTTCCCCACCAAATAATACAAGTCGATTACCTGCTGCACAAGCACTAAAGTTGCAACGTAAAGGCTCCACAGCTCCCCTAACTGTCAGTTTTCTCCAACATACAGCTTCAAGAGTTGTAAGTTCCCTGGCCAAGCGCCCCCAACCAAGTTTATCTGTCATTTGTTCCAATGTTCCAGTCACTTCTCTTCCCCATGCATTCTGACATACCATCTTCCTTAAATGTTCGTTCTTCGTCAATTGACGAATCCTTCGGCACACTGATCCAACAGATGCAACATCTCGTGGCGTCAAGCGTGATAAAATGTTATGGGCTAAGACTTCATCTGAAAGCTGTAGTATCCCACAGATTTTTTTATGCTGACCAAATGGTGATTGATCAATCAGATGAGCACTTTTGCCTGATAGATCATATTTTATTGCACAAGTTTCTTTGAAAACGGGATATGACAACCGATTAAGGTCTATCTTTGTCTCAGAAAACACTTGAATTCCTATAATGTGTGTTACAGTACCATCATCATCATGTATCGGTGCAAGCCGTAACCTATTCACCATAGGAGTGCCATCCTTTCTAAAATTGAGGAGTTCACCTTGGAATTCAACGCCTTCCTCAAGACATCTTCTGATTTCAGAAACAACCACTGGATCTACCAAAGGGTGGCGCCTTTGTGCATGAGTATCTCTATATTGTAAGAACCGACTGAAACAAAAGTACCCATATGAGTTTATGAAATTCTTACACACAAGAACAATTACAAAACCATGGAAATAAACTAATCTGTACAAAGACAAGATCATACGAAGAGAGAAAGAAGTTTCAAGTAAATCACCGCTGATAAACTTAAACCGGAATCATTTGACAGTATATAACTATGGACTCAATTGGATAAAGTCATGCTGTTGTAATGAAACTAAAAGGAAACTACATCAGGACTTCAATGTGAATTACGGAAATCAAATGGTAACTACCCCCACCGTCCCACCAAGAAAAAGAGCACAACAATGATAGAAAATTATCAGAGTCACCATAATTTTCCACAGAGCCACCGCCTTTTTGAGAAAAATAAACAAGGAAATCAAAATGTACTTTCACTTTCTTCTCCTCTATCTTTCTTAACAGGATGCCGACCAGAATTTAGACTCAAACCAATCAAATGTGCTTCTTTATCATGTAGTAACTTGTGTAAGGATAGGAATTCAAACAATCATTCATTTGCTAAAAGGATCGACCAGCACAAAAAAGCCACCCTTAACAAGCATAGAACATTCGCAACAGGAAACATTAACAAAACTGGTTTTGGAAAGGATTCCCACTTGAAATTGATGCAAGTCACAACTCAAAAGGGCACATAAATTGTCTTCATTACAAACGATCAAAACCACAAAACTAATTGCCCCTGGATTAATTGAATTTCAAATCACCTTATCGAGCATCCAAAAGTTTCTTGTACCGAAAATTACATTATAAATCCATCCAGAAACCGAAATTACCACTGCCTTCTATACCAAACAAAGGAAGCCAAAAACATCCAGCAAAACAACAAAAATTATCGCGCAATTGAATCTCATCATACCAATTCTGGCCGAGGACCTCATCGGCGCGATATCCGGTACAGATCTCGAAGACTTTGTTGACGTAGATGATTGGGAAATCGGGCTCCAGAGCATCGGAGACCACGAAGGAAGTTGGCGTCATTGGGTAGAAGAACAGGCCTGGCTTCAATGGAAGCTCACTCACCTGCTCTTCTTCTTCTTCTTCATTTTCGAGCTGTTCATCGTCGTGCTTAGAGCATTTTAGCCTCTTGACGGAGCTCTGAACCTCCGGTTCATCATCGTTTTTCGCCATTGCCATTCGCCGCTTTCTTTCTTTCTTTCGTCAGAACCTGAAAATTGAAGTGATTGGACAGAGCATTTGAGATATTTATCTGCTCGATGGCGGTGAAGTAAAATGCCCATCTCCCATCTTAAAATTACGAATTTGCCACTACACCAGAATTTATAGAAAAATCCTTCCATACACTAAAAATAATATGAATGATGTGATTAATTTTTTAAAAAATTTTCATTTTTGTTCAAAACTATCCCTAAATAAGTATCGTGTTTCAACAAATCCTACATTGTATTGCTTTTCCGAAAAGGCGACCCTCTCCAACATTCTTGTGAGATTTTTATCGAAATTAATGGTCATAATGGATTAAATGAAAATGGTTATGACGTGAGAGACTCTAATTAGCCTTCAAGGAAATCACTTTATTAGATATGGTCAACCCCTCAAATGTGGGTTGTTTTGGGCATGGCCGACTCCATGGAGGTCGTCTTTGCCTATTAGAGTCATGGGTGACAATAGGAGTCAACTTTTGCAACTATGTGTGATCCTATGAGATCAATCGTTGTAACTAAGGGACTTTTCTAAAATATAAATTAAAAAAAATGTATAAATTCAAGGAGACAGGAACACCAAAAAAAACTATTAGGCAATTAAATTATAAAAATTATTGAAGAAAAACATTAAAAAATTATTAAAAACTTTTTATAAGTGAAGTAACTAAATTTATAACTTACTAAAAATTTGGTGTGTTAATTTAAAAAGGAAATGGCAGTTGAGTAATTAAGCGGAAAAAGAAGGGTGAAAGAAAAGAGCGAAAGTCCACGTTGGGGAGAGTGGGGAACACGCGTGGGATTGGATATTTGGAGTTCGAAAATATCTGGCGTTCAGGGGCGAATTAGAAATCGCCACGTCACCATGAAAATCGTTGTCATAGAAGATATTTTTTTCGGGAAGAGGATTCTTTCTAGTATGCCTTGTGGTCCCCATCGTCAGCCGATCGACATGCGATGCTCATGCTCATGCATCCACCCATTGAAAAACATTATGATTATTTATAATTATTATTACTATTATTATTATTATTTGATCTTGACACACAAGTCCCACTCCCCCATTTATCCCATCAATTTCATAATTACCACTTCAACAAATCCTTTTACCTTAACAATTCTAGGTTAAAAAAAGACTTATCGACGAACTTTGTCGAGTCCAAAACGATATGAGATTGAAAATTTAAAGACTATAGGAGCTATATGCCTAATAAATCAAGTCCGACCCAAAGACGAGGATAAGCACAAAGGATAAGAAATTGGTCTTACAAGGGTTGCTCAAAAACTCACATGGTCAATTCCTAAAGAGTAAGCATGAGACTATGTATGTCTTTCTAAATACTCGTACTCTCTAGTATATCACTAATAAAAGTGAACGAATAGATCTAGTTCATAAAATTTTTAAATTTATATCTAAATGGTTTATGAATTTTAAAATTTGTTCCAAGATTACCCTTCCATATGAAATATGAATGTTCGTCAAATTTGGTGTCAATCGAACATTAGACGGACAATGCATGACACTGTATGACCGTTCACCAAAATCATGTCTATGCCTCAAAGATTGAAAATGACTCAAAATGTACTATAGGGATATCATGGTGTTAGCTCTCTACCAACCCTGGGCCCTATGACCTAAGTGAGCTACCCCGTGGCACATATGTGTGTCACAGTGTGTGCGAGCGTACCGAGACGAGTGTCTCGGACGACTTCCTTTGAAATGAGTTTTTCAAGTACAGTACTGGGCAGCACAGGTGTGCCGGTATTGCGCCCCAGCCCGTGTGTTGGAGGTTGCTATATACACCCGCTATCCGGCACGGTATCCGTAAATGACACGACATGGGTATGGGAGGGTCAATGCCTCGATAGAACCCAAATGAATGAATGTTCGGGAAGTCCTGAGGAGATGAGCGACACGCAGGCCCGTTCTTGATGACATGACCGAACGAATTGTGATGGCTGACGACATCCCGAAACTCGGAATGGTGCCAAAACATATGAACCATGTCGATGGGGATCGAGATGACAAGATGAGATACGACGTTGCATTGAGAGACCTTGGCCCTGAGTAGAGGCAAAGTCGAGCCAAATAACTTAGCCGCGTGTAAAGGCAAGTCGGATGTATCGCACACGATTGAACATACACGCGCAATCGTAACGAAAGGATAAAATTGAAACCTGCCGAGAGGATTTGATAAAATTGAAGGTAAGAAAATTGAAGTAATGAAATGATATTCAATTAATTAACACAATGATGGTTGTAAGAACGAAGGGTATGATATTAAGCTATGTAGGGAAGTTGAATGATTCCCAAGTGATACCCCTCTGAATGTATTCGATATTTGATGGATCAAATGGGCCCTTGATTCTATCAATGGATTGAATCGTTGCTCTTGCTGGAAGAACACTTCTGGATGGATCAGATGAAGTCGCAAAGCTCAAGCATGATGAGAATCCCTGTCCAATTTTACATCTCATTCTCAATTAAAATTTTTAATCTAACCTAAATCCTAAATTTAAAGAAACGAAGAAAAACCTTGAAGACGAGAACTTCAACGAGGTCGCCATCGAGCGCCGCGTGAACGATCAGCGCCTCGCCGGCGGCGGCCTGAGTGTAGGATTCCAGAAGCGCAATCTGTTCATTGTGGCCATACTCTTCATCTTCATCTTCTTCATCATCGTATCGGACTCTCCGCCGAGCAGCGCAATCGTTAAGGCGTTGGGGGCGGCGGCGAGCTCTGAAATTTAGCGAATCGTGGATTGTGAAAGAGAAAGAGAAAGTGATTTTGGTTGGAGTTGTGTTTAGGTCGCCGGAAAATGGCCGGAGAACGGTGGGGAGAGAATCGGAGTGAAGAATTGGGGATGTTTGGAGGTGGTTCGCCATTTTGAAAGAAATGCGAGGAGGGCGGAATTTCGACCTTTCGAGATAAGGTCAAGCTCTCCGCCCTTTATTTTCCCTTTATTTTTTTTAAAATTAAATTATAAATTTAGCCCAAAACTTTACTATATAATAATGAGATAATTTGATATGAAATATTATATTGTATTATAAGGTTAGGTTAATTAATTCCAATCGTTACCTTACCTCTTACATTTATATTTCTTACCTATCTAATCATTAAAGTAATTGTATAAATTATAATATATGCATGTGGTCATAAGCAAATATTATTTTCGCTATATAATAATAAATCACTTTTTTTTTTTGCTTTATTTTCACTATATGAAGCAAAAAAATAAAAAATAAAAAATAAAAAAAGTTAAATACTTATTAAATAAATACATAAATAAAATTGAAGAAAATTTCTCAAAGTATATTGCAAAAATAAAAATAAATTATAATATTCTCAATATCTACCAAAATTGGAGCAATAAATACAATAATAAATACGGAAATCTTGATCTATAAGATAAGTACCACAAGAATTACTGATATTATCTAATAAAATTTTTAAATAATTATGGTCCATTTTCAGCTATTTTAAAAAAAATAGATTTATTTAACAATTTGGCTTTAACTAGCCACAATATTCAAAATAATTTTTAATCTAAAATTTTAGAGAACATTAATATAATATTTGAAATTATAAATTAAAATGAAATAAATATAAAACAAATAATAAATGCACATTTTGATTCATTTAATTAGTAAAGAAGAAAATATGTATTGACAATTGCTAAATGTCTTAGTTTACACGGCATTTGACATTTATGAGGGATTAATAAATATTTTCATTTTATATAAAAAAAAATCACTGATATAAATACTAAATTATATACTTTTTTATTAATATAGTTATATTCTAAAAAATGTTTATAGACATTTTGAATAATTCAACATTATTTTTAGACATTTTTGTAAAAAATGAATTTCAATTTTCCAATTTCTTCCATTTTAAAATATCAAAATAAAATAAAATAAAATAAAAGTAATTTTCTGTTTGTCTTCTCTCTATATATATTCACACAGTTGCAAAAGGAGAATAGTAAATGAGAATCTTGGAGAAGAAAAAATGGCGATGGAGATGACTTTGGTAGACTCATAGTGACTACTGGTTTGCAAGTTTCTTCAACATTGAATTGCGTGAAAGGCACTCTCAAATCCATTTCCGAATATTTCGCAGCAAAATTCCAAACGGTTCATATCCATTCACTTTTGGCTCCACCATTAAATTCCATTTCATCCCTCCAAATTTCTTCTCTGATCTCCCTTTTTCTCTTTTTCCCTTTCCCGTTTCTTTGATTCTACTGTTTTAAATCCCTCTCTCCCTCTCTGATTTCTGATTTTGAAACCGATCGTACTAGTTTGGTGAAATTTTGGTTTCAGATTTTGATTTTAAGTTCGTTGTTTCTACTGTAGTTGAGGCCGATTACGGTGATTATCTTTGTGTTAGTTTTGGAAAATGGAGAATAGTCAGCGGATTTTGCAGATGAGGAGAGTAGTCGAGAAAAATGGGGTTTCCACAGAAGTAAGGGTTTCTGTGGATTTGTTTCTTTTTGAGATTGGAATTTTTTGTTTGTTTATCTTATCTTTGTTTTGCAGAAGTATGGAGATCTGACGATGATGAGGTTTTTGATTGCGAGGTCGATGGATGTTGAGAAAGCAGCGAAGATGTTTGTACAATGGCAGAAATGGAGGGATACGATGGTTCCGAATGGGCGAATTGATGAATCTGAGATTGAAGATGAACTGGAAGCTAGGAAAATTTATTTGCAGGGTTTGTCACGGAATGGGCATTCTGTGATGATCGTTAAAGGGAGCAAGCATTTTCCTGCGAAGGATCAAGTTCAGTTCAAGAGTGAGTTCTCTCAACTCAGATTTTTAGTTTAATTGGAGTTTGTTTTGGGATCTGTTTTGAAATTGTTAGCCCGCCCTTCGAAATTAGTTTTATATTGATTCCATGAGGGTTGACCAGTTCCACTTCTTCACCATGATTGATTGCTCGGTTCATTAATTAATATCTTAAAGAATAGATTGAATTGTACCATTCTACATCTT